GTACTTTGTAATGAAAGGTTCACTGTCTAATGAAAAGACTATTATTCGTCTATGACATCCAGGGTTAACATAATTCAGCATATTAATATATATATTGATTACTTTCATTTTCACATAATACTTCAATAAAATTACACAACAATATCATCATAGTTGAGGTTCTGAAACGAAACTGGTACAAAAAAAAGGTTGCATGATCACGCTGCCATATGTAACTCCTTATATTCATTATAACATATCATATTATAAGGGCATCACTGCAAGAAACTTTCACAGGATCCATTCGATATTGCATTTTTTTAAAAATCCAAACAAACAATAATACTCTGTATTTTTTATTTTTATTTGATGTTTACCAATGCAGCTAACTGTTAATAAATGGAACCTTACTGTAAAGTGTTACCAGTTAAGAAAATTACATTTGCCAGCCAAAAACAGGTTTCACAATGTTTCTCAATCAACAGAGAAATTAGATATACCAAGAGGAAATGCACTTACTGAATATAAAAAAGATATCATGATAATATCATTATAATTCAGTTCCGTGCTGCTGTCAGAAGAAGTGCCATTAGCAGTAAGTGTTTAGTAGTGGATACTGAGTAAGAGAGTAGTCAACTCGGAGTGGTTTGAGGTTTTTTAGTCTTCCTTCCTGCTGCGCTCAAGAAGGTCAGTTCAGAGGAAGTGAGATTCAGTCACTTGCTGTTTTTTCGGTAGCTGATCAGAACAGGTTCTGTACCCTAAAACATCCGTTAAGATGGCAGGATTGTTTAGGATCTGGATATTTATGGTTCTCCTCTTGGGATTGATAGATCCATCTCAGGCCTCTCTGCGTCCTCGCATGTCATTCTCTCAGGGTAAGTGAAGCTCGGATTGAAAGATGATAGCGAGACATATTCTACTGGTGCAAAAACTCACACTTACAGCGATTGTCAGATGTGCATCTTGAGGGCAAAGGATATTAGTCATTTGTAACCACATTTCCGTCAGAATGTGTTTCCATATGAATAATTGAGAAATTAATTGTTATAAAGTAGTTTGGTCCTCTGACTTCTATGCAAATACAAAAAAAATCAGCTCAACTTTGGTACAAGAAAATAATTCAGTATGTTTTATTCATGAATCACAAGCAAAATCTTCGCATTTGATTCACAGTAAATTTAAACTCATTTCATAAATATGACCCATGTTCAGATGACCAAATAGCACAGTCATGTTGGGCAAACACACATTCTGTGTAAGTTTTGTAATCTTTCTTCTCTAAACGTGTGAGTTGTGGCTTTGTTTGTTTTTATCCATTACTGTTGTTCTGCAAATGCTTGATGGTCTAAATGCTGCTCGCTTGAAACCACCGCTGACTGATTATCTGCACTACACTCTCAAAGGCCTGCTGCTGCAGAGAAGCATGTCTTAAGACTGTGGTTAGTTTTTGCTTTAGAGTATATCAGACATCAGTGAGGACAATTAGATAAAAGACTTTTCTACAGATCAATAAACGCCATAAAATGTCAGGATTTTTTGACACTGTCAGGGGTTTTACGTATGACTAATAGGTTTATTTATTTGGAAGAGGAACTGCTTTGAAACTGTTCTGACATACACTTCCATTTTAAAGAATCATTATTTTTAAGAAAGTAATATTATTTAGCATGGATGCATTTAATTCTTTAAAAGTCAGACATTTAAGATGTTGAACTAAATGCTGTTTTTTAACCTCAAATAATCTTCAAAAGAGATCTCCACATAAATATTAAGCAGCACAACAGTTTTCAGCATTGATAATAATAAGAAATGTTACCTGAGGAGCAAATCAGCATATTGGAATGATTTCTGAAGGATCATGTGACACTATAATGTAATGGCTGTTGAAAATTTAGCTTTGCCAGAACAGTAATAAATTGCATTTTAAAATAGGCCTATATTAAAATACAAAACACTTATTTTAAATTGTAGTAATATTTCAAAATATTACTGCTTTTACTGTATTTTTCATAAAAAAAAAATGCAGCCTTGGTGAGCAAAAGAGGTTTCATTTGAAAACATAAAAAAACATTACCTACTCTAAACGTTTGAACTGTACATACGTATGTATAACTTTTTGATGTTAGAAACAAGACGCTTACATATATTAAAATTAGGCTTGGTACACCACATTGAGGTTTCTCAGTGCCATTGTTTAGAAACATTTATGAAGCTGTTTTGGACATCAACCTCAAGTTAAAGCAATAAAAATAATCAGGGTCGTCATTTATCATCTAATGTTAATGATGCATTCTCTAAGAGAGTTTGGCTGACCAGACAACACAGCGAAATCATATAGCCGTATTTCTGTTTGTCTGTATGTGCAGTATTGCTAAACCTCAGCTCATGGGCCTTGCTTATTTCCTCAGATCAAAAAGAGGAAAAGAGTGTCAGTGTTGTGGTTTCATTGCTTAACTGTGAATATAATCACTGTTTAAAGGTCAAAAGCAAATAAAGATGTTTAAAAGAAATGGGTGAAAAAAATCAGTTTGTGTAAAATACATGTGCCAGTCTCTCAGAAATGTAGGGGTCAAGGTTTATCTGGTTGCTTTTTCTTCCACAGGAAGCTCAGAGCGTCTCTTGGGCATCTACCACAGCTCTACTGTGAAGAACACCAACACTCTGCTGCTCAGCACTGATGCTGACACACTGTTTGTTGGTGCTCAGGATGCTCTGCTCTCTCTGGATGTCAGTCAGTCTGATAGTATTACACTCAAAGACAAGGTGAGAAAGATTGTGTAACCCTTCAGGAATATTGTGCTATATATTTCAGATTACACTCTCTAAACTTCTGTCATGAAGATCACCCTAGACTTGGAGGGGAAATTACATAATTAAAAATGTTACACTTTTTTACAGTTGGAATGGGCAGCATCTCCACAAAATATGAAAACCTGTACAGTGGCCTCAAGGACGGTATGTAGGCTACCATTCCTAACATTCACTTTAAATTTCCTTTACTAAATGTAAATGTCAATGTCAATGGCAAATTTCCAAGCTGATAAAAAGGAGAAATATATACTGTGTATATATATATATGTATATATATATATATATTAGTGCTGTCACTAATTATTAAGGATTAATTAATAATTAATCGCATCCAAAATAAAAGTTTTTGTTTACATAGTATGTGTGTGTACTGTGTACTATTATTTTATTTATATAAATACACATCCATGCATGTATATGTCTAAGAAAATATGTTAAGAAAATTTATATATATATATATATATATATATATATATATGTATATATATAAAAAAAAATGCAGCCTTGGTGAGCAAAAGAGGTTTCATTTGAAAACATAAAAAAACATTACCTACTCTAAACGTTTGAACTGTACATACGTATGTATAACTTTTTGATGTTAGAAACAAGACGCTTACATATATTAAAATTAGGCTTGGTACACCACATTGAGGTTTCTCAGTGCCATTGTTTAGAAACATTTATGAAGCTGTTTTGGACATCAACCTCAAGTTAAAGCAATAAAAATAATCAGGGTCGTCATTTATCATCTAATGTTAATGATGCATTCTCTAAGAGAGTTTGGCTGACCAGACAACACAGCGAAATCATATAGTCGTATTTCTGTTTGTCTGTATGTGCAGTATTGCTAAACCTCAGCTCATGGGCCTTGCTTATTTCCTCAGATCAAAAAGAGGAAAAGAGTGTCAGTGTTGTGGTTTCATTGCTTAACTGTGAATATAATCACTGTTTAAAGGTCAAAAGCAAATAAAGATGTTTAAAAGAAATGGGTGAAGAAAAATCAGTTTGTGTAAAATACATGTGCCAGTCTCTCAGAAATGTAGGGGTCAAGGTTTATCTGGTTGCTTTTTCTTCCACAGGAAGCTCAGAGCGTCTCTTGGGCATCTACCACAGCTCTACTGTGAAGAACACCAACACTCTGCTGCTCAGCACTGATGCTGACACACTGTTTGTTGGTGCTCAGGATGCTCTGCTCTCTCTGGATGTCAGTCAGTCTGATAGTATTACACTCAAAGACAAGGTGAGAAAGATTGTGTAACCCTTCAGGAATATTGTGCTATATATTTCAGATTACACTCTCTAAACTTCTGTCATGAAGATCACCCTAGACTTGGAGGGGAAATTACATAATTAAAAATGTTACACTTTTTTACAGTTGGAATGGGCAGCATCTCCACAAAATATGAAAACCTGTACAGTGGCCTCAAGGACGGTATGTAGGCTACCATTCCTAACATTCACTTTAAATTTCCTTTACTAAATGTAAATGTCAATGTCAATGGCAAATTTCCAAGCTGATAAAAAGGAGAAATATATACTGTGTATATATATATATGTATATATATATATATATTAGTGCTGTCACTAATTATTAAGGATTAATTAATAATTAATCGCATCCAAAATAAAAGTTTTTGTTTACATAGTATGTGTGTGTACTGTTGCTTAAAAAACACCTAAAAAGGGACCGTGCTCTGATTTGGATCATATCTCATGGTAACCTACCTGACTATGTATGTTCATTACATTGGTTCAAATCAGTACATTGCAAAGGTCATAAAAATATCATATGTATATATATATATACAAATAGAAATATGTCTTTAATGTCACTTTTGATCAATTTAATGCATCCTTGCTGAATAAAAGTAATAATTTTTTTCCAAAAAAAGTCTTACTGACCCCAAACCTTTGAACAGTATTTATTGTTACAAAATCTTTATATTTCAGATAAATGCTGTTTGTTTTAACTTTCTATTCATTAAAGAATCCTGAAAAAAAAGTTTTACACAACTGTTTTCAACACTGATAATAATAATGTTTTTTGAGCAAAAAAAATAAGCATATTGCTACATTGTAACACTTAAGACTGGAGTAATGATGCTAAAAATTCTGCTATATATATATATATATAAAACACATATAATTTTTTATATTTATTTTTACAGTGAGGAGGATATGATTGGTCATGCAGCAGCACAGATAAACACCACAAAGACATCTGAAATCTGTCACGAGATAACAAGTCTGAAGTTGTGGAAACGTCAAAAACAGGAAGCCCTGTCTGTCCCTTGAAAATCACCTTCCTTGGAGAGCCTGTAAAAATAAATTAATAAAATTATTTGTATATAAAGCTAAAAACAATAAAGCAAAATGTTCTTAAATTTTTTTTTTAGGTGTTTTTTAATGTGAGTCGCTATTACCATTACCTTTCTCCACAAAGGCTGGTATGGCAGTTCTACTTCTGACACTGGAAATGTTCCTGTGCACATCGGGCACTGGGCTTCAAGTGCGTTCACATTAAAGACAAAAATGTATGCAGGACAAATTTTGTAAAATAGGAATTGATAATTGACCATGTTCGCTTTAGCTTTTGCTTGTGTACCTCCTGAGGGGGATTGCAACATTGGATGATGTTGAATGAGGTCTAAGGTTTTGCCTGTCTGTCCCTTGAAAATCACCTTCCTTGGAGAGCCTGTAAAAATAAATTAATAAAATTATTTGTATATAAAGCTAAAAACAATAAAGCAAAATGTTCTTAAATTTTTTTTTTAGGTGTTTTTTAATGTGAGTCGCTATTACCATTACCTTTCTCCACAAAGGCTGGTATGGCAGTTCTACTTCTGACACTGGAAATGTTCCTGTGCACATCGGGCACTGGGCTTCAAGTGCGTTCACATTAAAGACAAAATGTATGCAGGACAAATTTTGTAAAATAGGAATTGATAATTGACCATGTTCGCTTTAGCTTTTGCTTGTGTACCTCCTGAGGGGGATTGCAACATTGGATGATGTTGAATGAGGTCTAAGGTTTTGCCTTGAAGATGTTGCCTCCTCTATCAACACCAAATCTTCTTCCTGCAAACAGAAAAGAAAAATGTGATGTTGTACTGATAGAATTCTAGGCTGTTGGGAGTAGTCACAAATAAAAACACCCCTTAGAAGTCAGGGGCATATTGAAATGTGGAAGTTAGTTCATTAAAAGGTCTTCAAAGCAAAGTCTCTGCAAGGCTACAGTGGTACTGGCTGACAAGTCCTGATTATCATTCGTTACTATTGAAGCAAGTAATCAAAAAAAGACGGCAGAAAAGAGAGCAACATTTGTGGTTTCGTGATGAGAAGTGTTTGAAGTGCACAAAGAAAAATATGATTTTTCAAAGATTTACACGCACTGCAAATTATTTTGTTTTCAATTTCTTTGCAAACTTTTATTTTTTAATTACAAAATAATTAGTTTGGCTCTCAAACACAGTATGTTTGATTGAATAAAAAATACACAAAATAAACTCCATACCTTGGTGGGCATTAGAGACTTTCAAAAACATTTAAAAAAATCGTATTCCAAACTAGCCCCACCAAAAAAAAAAAAAAAAGGGAATTAAAAACATTTTCATCATTGAAAAGGTGCATTTAAAAAATGCATTGTATGCTTACTCTGTAATAATAGATAGACAAATTGGAATCATGTGATGGACCTTTATTGCCATTCATGTGATGGCAGATTAGTACAAGCTTCATATTTATTATAACATACCTCTTATTTTTTATTTTTATGCTCGTCCATAACAGGATTGTGGCAACTTCATTAGTATTCTGCAGTTTTTCAACTCTACACACCTTTATGTCTGTGGGACAAATGCATATAAACCACAAGCCCTCATAATAGTAAGTTCAAATACATAAATTGCACAGATAGATAGATGGGAATTGAATGGATTGCTCTCTGCTCTAATCAAACTGACATCTCTGTTTTAGCCAGCAAGTTCTCTGAGCGCTAGCAGAGACACAAAGGATGCCAAAAACTGCTGTCCCTCCAGCTCCACCCAGAGGAACACAGCCACTATTGTTGGTGAGAGGGCAGAAACAGCTTTTGGAATGACCTCACCTAATCTAGTGCTCTCACACACTTAACTGTGACCTCTCTAACAGATGAAGAGCTGTATACCGCAACCAAAGTCGGCTACTTTGGGGACAAAGTGATTTCTCGCTGTCACAGCAGAGGAACACGCAATAACTTGGAGCTTCAGAATGTACCAAAATTGCTGCAGGGTTTGTATATTTTTGTCCCAAAAGTAATGCTGCCATAATGCTGACATATACAAAGTTTGATCTTGATGGCCTAGTGGTTATATGGGCCGGTAACACGAGTTGCAGGATTGAATTCATGAAAGGGTCATATAAATGAGTCGCTACTGTAACCTTGAGTGAATTTTCACACTTTGGTTTGTTTTTCTCTTAGAACCTGAATTCATAAGTTCAACACTTGTTGCCAGTGAAGGAAAGATCCTGCTGTTCTTTACTGAGGTTGGGGACTTGACTGGAGACTTATTTCTGAACTCTTTTATTGTGTCTCGTGTGGCACAGGTCTGCACGGTGAGACTTCATTTTTCTCCTATTCTGAATCAGAATGAAGGAAGTTACAAAGACTGGATTATTTGTCAGCAAAACCTCCAAGAACTACAAACATTGAAGTGACCTTTGTGTTCTGTTTAAAATAAATTACAGTAGTTATGATCGCTAAATTATAGATTTCTGTGTAGCCTAACTTTACAGACTTCTCCTATATTTTGTACGTGCAAATGTGGACAGATTTGGGGCGTTTTACTAGCAAATACTAATCCAGTTTTTTTGCTTAAAAAAACACAATCATAATTAATTGACTATTGACGCTAGTTGCCGAAAAAGTTAGAACCAGCAACAGTTGGAGTTGACAAAAAAAAAGAAGATATTTTGAGCTGATTTCAGAATAAATATTGTTTTGATTTGCATTCTGAAGTGACGTGACATGTGGCGACCCATACTCAGAATTAGTGCTCTGCATTTACCCATCCAAAGTGCACACACACAGCAGTGAACACACACCGGCAGCCATTTATGCTGCGGCGCCCGGGGAGAAGTTGGGGGTTTGGTGCCTTGTATTGAAGGTGGGAGAGAGCGCTGTACATTCACTCCCCCCACCTACAATCCCTGCCGGCACGAGACTCGAACCCACAACCTTTGGGTTATGAGTCCGACTCTCTAACCATTAGGCCACGACTTCCCCACATCTTGAAAGTCCCGTAGTGTGTAAGCTTTAATAATTTGGTAGGCTATACGATGCGCAGATTTTCTCTGTAACCATTTACAAAGTCAGCAAGTATATGATGCATAGTTCAGATTTAAAAAATCGTGTGGTGTATTCCAGCCTTTAGAAGTTTTCAAAATAGGCATGCGTATGTAGAAGCCTATTGCATAAAAAGTTTATGCAACTGCACTTTAACAGTATACTGTAAAAAATAAATATGACCAATAAGTTATGACATGTTTTTACATTACTTTAACTCATCAAAATATGTTAAACAATTTTCAACTTTATTTTATAAGTTGTACAATTCAAGTTTTTGAGACAGTTGAATGTAATTTAATTTGAAATGACTTAAACCGCTTAGTTTATTCTACTTAAAATATAAGGCAGCGGCTTTTTTTTTTTTTACAGTGGATAAGTAACCGAAACAGAGCATATTATCAAATGTTAAGTATCTGAAATACATTATGACTGCTTTTAGACAGGGATATATATTTTTAAAATTCATATCAACCATAAATATTGCAAAAAGATGAACAGATATTGTTTAAGACACTCTATTGACCCCCAGCAAAATTTAACATGAGTATACAAAATTCTAGATGTATAAATAATATAAAATCTAAAAATCTTTTAAATTTTTGTAATGTTTTTGCAAAGGGCATTTTGAACAATATAATTCAAATATATTATATAAAGTATATTTTACTCTCATCTGGGTCAAAAAGACCTGAATAGTACACAAAGGAAGTGGCTGTCTAGTTTTAAAAGTCTCCTCAAAACTTCCTTTTTAATGACTTTTTTTTAATATCAGGATGACAACGGAGGAAGCCTTACCTTACAGAAGCGCTGGACATCCTTTGCTAAGTCTCAGCTGGTCTGCCAACAAGGAGATAAGCTCCAGTTCAACAAGCTGCAGGATATTGTCAAGTTGTCCCCAACGAATGAAGAGTCTCCTGACAACACCCTTTTCTACGGAGTCTTTACCTCACAATGGTGCCGATTATTTAAATCAAACCCGCCATCATGACATATATTCACTGTTCTGAAAGTTCATGTGACATCTGTGTAAACATTTACTTCCCATCTCTCTCTGTCTCTTTTAGGGCAGCTTCATCTGGTCTGTCAGCAGTCTGTGCTTTCAGTCTAACAGATATTAAAGCAGCTTTTTCAGGGGATTACAAGACATTCGATTTGAATGGAAACTACTGGACACGTCAACCAAATGTAGACAGTAAACTCGGCAAGGTAACACAGACTAAGAGAGCCAATAATATATATATATATATATATATACAGTGGGTACGGAAAGTATTCAGACCCCCTTACATTTTACATTAATGAGGAAAAAAAAATAACTGAAATGATTTTAGCAAATGGCTGCAATATCACAAAGAGTGAAAAATTTAAGGGGGTCTGAATACTTTCCGTACCCACTGTATATATATATATATTACATTTTAAATTATTTACAGTATATTAAAATATATAATTTTTTATTAAATTATTCAAATAATATTAAACTTATTTTTGCAATTCCATTTGGTGCCACAGATTATACACTACACCGTAAAAGTCAACATTTAATTATATTGGGAACCCACATATTGTATTTCTTAATTAGCGAAGTACAATCGATTCTAAAGCAAACAGAGCAATGTTTGCAAAGTGACACAGTGTTTACACTTCTCATGAAATCCTCTGCCAATGGTTTAATTATAGTAACAAATTAAACTGGGACCAGAGAACATATTTTAACGTTCAGACAGCTTTAACCACTGTGTAACCAGATTTATCTTATATCTTCACAGTGTGGATTATTCAATGACAATGACCGTGTGTTAAACATTGTAAAAAAGAGCTTCCTGACTGAAAAAGCTGTGCGTCCTGTGGGGAAGAAACTGATTTTCTCCTCAAAAGAAGAGCGATATAGGCGTCTAGCTGTTCAGAGAACTCAAGCTGCAAATGGACACAGCTACACCATCCTTTACCTGCTCACCGGTACACACATAATTAATGCAGATCGTACTGATTTAGTTGATAATTTCTCATGTTTATTTGTGTATGGCCTGATGCCCATTTCTGTTTTCTTCAGAATCTGGCTTTCTTCATAAAGTCGTACTGCTGGCTAAAGGTCCTCATATCATCGAAGAAATTCAGATATTTAAGCAATCACAGACTGTGAAAAACATCCTTCTCTCTACCAGCAAGGTTTTTTGTCTTGTATCTTATTGTGAATGATTTGCATTTCGTTTTTGAGACTAGTTTTTTGTTATAACTCGACCCTCCTGTATTACCAAACTAGGTCTTGGAACAGAGCCATAATTTGTTAGATGTATAATGTGATCAGGTTTCAAGTAATGGTCTTTGTAAATTATAGGGTGTGCTGTTTATCGGCTCTTCTGAGGGTGTCTTCAGAGTGCCTGTATCCAACTGCTCAGCTTATCCAAACTGTGCAGAGTGTGTGTTGGCACGTGACCCGTTCTGTGGATGGGACTCAGAGACCAGAGCCTGTGCTACTGTGTCCAGAATGGGGTCTAACCTGTGAGTTTTCTGTTCAGTACCAATATCTGAAATTAAAGTTAAGATCTTGGACAGTCATACTCATCACTAAATGGGCCAAAAACCACCCACTTAAAAAGCAAAGGTCAGTCTGACCCAGTGTTATTTTTGTATTATTTATATACAATTTTTTATTATTATTTTTGATTTAGTTAGTTGCCAGGGCAATGTTTCTATTTTTCTTCCAGAATTGTTTATCTAATATTTTATTTTATTTTATTTCAATTAACATGAAAACATAAAAAAGTTAATTTTTAGATATTTAATAGTTTTAGTGTTACCAAAAACCACACTGGTCTGACTGAGATGAAAAGTGGTACTTTTCCTTTTTTTTTTCTTCTTTTTTGTAGAGGTGTGGTGATCTGAAATTACAGATACCTCACTACTAGTCCTATATTTTTGTGTCTCAAACACAGACGGCAGGACGTGGAAAGCGGAAATGTCAATGAACAGTGCACAGAGCTCAACAATACTGCTGCTACAGGTAAACACGTTTTCTGTGACCCATAAGACTTTGACATAACCAAACTCAGAGTGTTCTTTGCAACTACATGGTGTTTATTTGTGAAGGTGCCAGATTTTCCATTCATAATCGCCAACAAGCAGTGGAAGTTTCTTGCTTAATGTAAAATTCTAGTATGAAATGTTTTCACATCCAGGTAGCTTAAAGTATTTTAAGCAAAAAAGTAAATTTTGCTCAAATTGACTCACCATCAGGCCATCCAAGATGTAGATGAGTTTGTTTCTTCATCAGAAGAGATTTGGAAATATTTTGTATTCCATCACTTGCTCATTAATGGATCCTCTGCAGTGAATGTGTGCCATTATTATGGACTGGTATTACAGTTTAAAGTTTTAAAACGCATTAATAATGGATTTGTTATATACAAGCATGCAGCTTTTCACTTCACAAGATGTTAACTTATAGACTGGAGTCGTGTGGACTTGATTACTCTGATGTTTTTATCAGCTGTTTGAACTCTCATTCTGACGGCACCCATTCACTGCAGAGGATCCATTGGTGAGCAGGTGATGTAATCTCCAAATCTGTTCTGATGAAAAAACTAAGTAATCTACATCTCAGATGAGTGCATTTTCGGGTGAACTATTCAATTATGAGTTTAGTTGCACTGAATGTGTAACTGTAATATTTGATAAAACTGATACCTTTGTCTTTCTCCAGTGACACGGATTGCCCAGTTAAATTATATTGTGGTTCTACCATGTCACTCGAGGTCCAGACTGGCAGAGGTGACTTGGAGGTTTTCAAACAACAGCATCGTTCCTCAGTTTCCGTACAGGCAGTGGGCAGACGGCAGTCTTGTTTTCATCGTCACTCCAGAGACCGTGAACACCTACCACTGCATGTCTGAGGAACTGGGTTTCAAGCAAACCATCGCCGCCTTCGCTGTAACTCTCCCTGTCATCCCTCGTTCTTTCCCTCCTCCATCACATCAGCAACCTGACATCACCCTGGACTCTGATGAGGGCACAAAAACAGAGCCCATCCCTGATTACTACACAACAATTGAGTTTGATGAATCTGAACCTACAAAAGGGGAAAAGATGGATGCATTTATTACACCAGACAAGACCAGTGAGAAAAAAGCCAGGACTAATCATCAGTCTACTAAAACCATGAACACTGCAGGAAAAGACGCTGTTTGCATCGCACAGAAGAGTTACTATACTGAAATGGTTGCTTTTTGCTTCTTGTTTGTCATTTGTCTCTTTGTATTCATTGCTTTTGTGGTCCTTTGGAGGCACAGCATGAGGTGCAACAAAACCACCCCTCAGAAACAACCTAAGGACACGGAATCAGACAATATCTGGCAAACAGAACTGGAAGAAAAGAAAAGCTGAGCCCAAAAACCAGCAGGATCTATATTGGAAGATTACACAAACTAAAGAATGATTCTTGACCCTCATTTAGTTTGAAAAAATAACAATGTGATCGCTAGAATGTTACATAATATTTATAATCATTTGATTTTATTTATGATTTGAGGTAATCATGTTTGTTTTGTCAAAACCATTGTTCAGTCAACGCTGAAATCCAAATTAAGATTTTTTTTTAGGATTTTAAGGTAAGCTTGTTTGCAAAAAAGGCATATTACATAATTCGATGATGCCATGTTTTTAAAAAATTAAGAAAAACTTGTTTTTTCACAATGTATAAATAAAAGAATAAAGACTTTATATACAGGTGCATCTCAATAAATTAGAATGTCATGGAAAAGTTCATTTATTTCAGTAATTCAACTCAAATTGTGAAACTCGTGTATTAAATAAATTCAATGCACACAGACTGAAGTAGTTAGTAACAAATTAGAATACTTCATAAGAGCAATAAAAAAAAAATATGTTTAGTGAATTGTTGGCCTTCTGGAAAGTATGTCCATTTACTGTACATGCACGCAATACTTGGTAGGGGCTCCTTTCATAGATTCTTTATGAGGTTCAGGTCTGGTGAGTTTGCTGGCCAGTCAAGCACACCAGAGGTTCATGTTTATATAATTTTATGAGGATATGTAAATGATGGTCTGTTGTGGTTGAAGATCTAAGCTCATAAACTTCAGTTCTCAGTGTAGCCTTGATTGCAAAATAAAGATGGGATCTAGGAAAATCTTCTCTTTTGATTTCAGGATGAAACCGATGTCGACCCTTACGGCAGTGACTCCAGTCTCCTGAAGGTTGGGGTGGATTGTGTCTCCAACCCCTGAATGGCCACACAGTTATGGCCAAGGTTTCTCTAGTCAAAAGTTTAATCATCATATAGGCTAAATGTGATAACATTTGCTTTATAAAGTTCTTTCTTTTTGATGGGATTGAATGATAAAATACAGGATAGCCATTTTCCACTAGATGATTTGTCATTTTTTTGCAGTATACACCTTTCTGCATGGTTATGTTCTTTGAGACGTATTGCACACTGCTTGCTGATTTTATGAATAAAATGCACTATGTTTCATTATTTCTCTTGCACTATATTGAAGACTGCATTAGCATCCACACCAGCGTATAATAACATTCTGATTTTTATAAGCACACGATGCTGTTATGTCATCTGCCGCTTTAAATGCTCAAGCTCTTAAAATTCTGATTGGCTGTCAATGTTTTTAAAGTTCATCAGCTGGGAAAAAAATGAATTCTGATGAAAGTGATTCCAACAGTATTTTCTCAATACTTTCCTAATGCTGGGGGGAAAAAAGTGGACATTTATTTCTAAAACTATAATTTGCTCTCCAATACAGATCCTAAAGAAAAAGCTTAAGCATTTATTTATGGAAGCCTATTTCAGCCGCATAAGAAAAATCATGCTTTGATAAATAAATGCAAAATTATTACATACTAAGTCACAGTTACGACACAAAAATGTGAAATTATGAGATGCTAAGTCATAATTATGACATCAATGGACATAAAAAGTCAAAAATTATGTCATAAAAAGTCCGAATGTTTAAACTCAGTCATGTGACATATGTCTCTATTTCTATTATTCAGCTTGTCATAACTGGTGTTGTCCTGGTGCACACTGGGAGGAAGCCATCTAAATGTCTGGTACAGTATGAACATACATATATGAATATCATCTGAAAATTAGAACGTGTTTGCAAATCATGTCACTCTTGCTCACTTCATTTTAATCCCTTTAATGTCCCTCCGTCAGAAAGGACCTTGCACCTCCTCATCCTGTATTGACCAAATTAAGTGCAGTCTCAGCAACAGCAGTCTTGTGTAATCAAACTTTTGACAACAAAGGTCCTCTTTGCATATTATTTTTGCCAAGAACTGCCCACTTTTTTTCAAGATTGCAAGATATTACTTGACAGACATTCCTCAGTTTGTTTTGTTTTTATGGGATCGTTTGGAACAGTGTTATTATAGCATAATTGACTTGAGATAACTTAAGATCTACTTGTGGCATTTTTGCCTTCTATTGTGAGAGGATAGTTTGTAAAGTTGTCAGGAAGCAAATTGGGAGAGAGAGAGGGGGACAGCATTAGGAAAGGTCTTCAAGCTGGGATTCGAACTTGGCACGCCCGTAGTGCAACGGCGCTGTATGTCGGCGCACCACCCTTAGTTTTTATTAATATTGTGATATAATATTTTGATATTTTCCATTTTCATTTTAATATAGTTAATTTTTTATTAATATTATAAATGTTGATATATTTTATTTCAGTATCTGTTTTTATTTTTATTAGTTATTTAGTAACTTTGTGTTTTTTTTATTTTTAGTACTTGTTTTTGTTTTTAAATGTCTGAAGTTTTTTTTAATTTCATTTTTAGTTTTAGTTATTTTAGTATATCAGTTTAAACTAAATTAAAATGAGAAATGTTGTCAACAAGCTAAAATAAAAAGTTTTGTATATATATATTTGATTTGATTTCAGTTCATGTTTTTTAAGGTTTTATTATTATTTTCAAATTTATTGAACCATAATAACCATCTGTATTTTCAATATATTTTTGACCGTTCGTTATTGAAAGACTGTAAATTAGAATTGTATTTATTGTTGAAATACATGTCTGTTTGTTTGTCGCAGGTGCTGACAACCATTGTTCTGCAATTACTAACAGCAGCATTTGATATTGTTGGATTTGGGCTCATGGCCAGACACATCCCATTCAGAGGAGAGTCGTACTACTACAGGGACACAGAGGTAAACAAACAGAGATGCCCCATCCTGCTCATTCTCAAGCCAAGATACCTTCATTCCCACAAGTGACTCAATATTTCAAATACTGTAAACAAAACGGATCATATACTCGGTTATTGAAATAACACAAGAATGTGGGAAAATGTTATACTTCAACCGGCCTGCTTGCTTTGTTCATTGGCAAACAATGGTTTCAGGCCATTTTATTTTTGCCTGTCCTGTACGTGGAACAGAAAAGCAGATGATATTGAGAGTAGGAATCGGGAAGCTGTTCATCGATCTGAACGTCAGTCTCTGTCAGACGGCAGACTGTGGTTGAGTGTGTGTGAGTAGAAAGAGAGATGTGACTCCAGGCTCTGTCCTGCTTGTTTCAGTGGTGTTGTGACCCACGTCACTCTGTTTGGGCTTGCTGTGGAGAAGGAGAGAAAGGGGGACATAAAGAGGTGAGTTGCATTACAAGCTTTACAATGCAGCGGGAAAACCATAATCACATCCTGAGACTCTGAGCTGGATTCAAACTGCAATTCAGTTCAGGATGTATCTAATCTCAATTTCCCCCCAAGTTTTAGACTGGTGTAATGCACAATTATCAGTGTAGTGTTTTAGGAGAGAACTCACAAGCTTTTATTAACTTAGAATAACTTTTCTCTTTGGTGCACAATTCAGACTATTGGACGACTGATATGGGTTTTTCAATGACAGGTGATGATACCAATAACTAAAGAGCGGCATGGCCATTTAATGTTAATGTATCAGTATTGATATTGTTAACTAAAAGCATACATTTTTTAAAAAAATTATTTAAAATTGTTTATATTTAATTATATATTTACGTTCAATTATATTATTTAAATTAATTTAAAAAATATAAATATTAGACGAAAAGCTTATAAAACCTTAAACAAAAATGTTGCACTGGCAAATAACTTAAATACATTAAGTATAAGCTGAACTACTAAAATTACTCGAATTAAAGCTAAATAGAAATAATATAATAACTAAAATTACAAAATTGCACAAGAAAATTTGTAAAATGTAAACTGAAAGTATACAAATAAAATCTAAAATACTATAATAGTATATAAATAATACTAAATTAACAATGTGATGTATATAGGCTAATGTAATTATAGCAAATTAAATATATATATATATATATACTCTATATTTACTTTACAAAAATGTGTAGAAGTTGTGCATAATGCAGATGGCCAAATACCAAAGTCTGATTAATTGAAGTATAACATTTTCCATTTTCCCTTTCTGTGGATATTCATATTTTTTTGTATTATTATTTGCATATGATTGTGATTTACCATGTAAATACTGTTTGTATATATAGTTTTATCATAGAACAGTGCTGCTGTAATGTACTATTGTATTTGTGGTTTGTATTACAGTTCTTAGTGAATGGGATCTTGTTGACACTGATCGGTTTCCTGGTGCTAGCATGTGTCATTGGTTTGGTTGTGTCTCTTTTTGGGGTCTACACCCTTTCTGTTAGTGCCATAAAGGTTTGTATTTCAGGACTGCTCTTAATATTTGAGAATTATGTTCTGTTTCAGGTATCTATTAATGTTTTAAGGCAAATTTGTCATGAAACTGACTGTCCAATTCACTCTTTTGCCTCAGGAGGTGACGCCCATCCCTCACTCTACCGCAAACCAACATTATGGTGTTGGCGTTCAGACCCAGAACAAGATCCATGCCGGAAACTGACAAAATAAGAGCCGTTCAGAGCAGAAGGGCACAGTTTTAGCACAGTTTTACACCAACTGCAAAAGAGGACTGTTTCACCTACAAACCACTCACAGGTAAACAACCACAACTACAGACAAAAAAAAAAAACCCGTTTGTGAAGTTGTAAATAATTTTTAAAAAATAAAATGGATCAAATCTAATTTTTTGCTTGGCCGTTGCTCTCACAGGCTTTAGGACTGCTGTAATTTTGAATGCTCAACTTAATAGTTATTCGTACCTCATTAATTTTCGCTCTTACAAACTGAAGCTTCTTAGCATGAAATGTCTACCCAGAAATCTAGACCAGAATCCAGTGTTATCAATGTATGTAAGAGGGGTAAGTGTGCTTATCGTTCTTAGGATATGTGAAATTAGGTACATAGCAGAAACAGAAATGGAATTATGGTGAATGTGAATGGTAAGAAGGTTCTGTGATTCCGGCTTGTTTCATAGCATTTTGTACCACCTTTTGCATGGATCTTTATATCGGTCAACATGTTTGTTTTAGCCACATGAGGACATATGGGGCTACATTTATCAAGTTGATATTTGTTAATTGCAATTTGAAAATAAAAGCTCTTGGAACCATAAAAATGTAACAACACTGTAAGCAAGCCAAATGATTTTATATATATGCTTACAAAAAAAATCCTTCAAAATAAAAGCCTTGATAAATGTGGCCCATGTTCAGTGAAACTCCTCTAAAGCAGAGTAATGTGAATTTGAACACCAGTGAACAACTAAACAGCAGCGCTTGGCTTTTTTGTCATCTCGTTTTATCCGTA